TCTCTTCAGTGGACACAGTAATTTGCTAGTTTTTAATGACATTCAGTCTCTTAAGCCTTCTTTAGAAATTAACTCCTCCTTCAATGGGCAATTATTCTGCAGAAGCAGCCTTTATATGCCACCACAGATGTAAATATTCACTGCGATTGTAATTTGCCACTAGTGGCACAGTGGTAAAGTCACATTCACCATAGAACATGAGAATTTTTATTTTTTTTCCTCCTATCAGAGGCTAAAATACAGTTAGGTTTTACTGTTAGAGAAATAATCACACTACCACATACTGTTACCTCTCCTCTCAATGGGGGAAACCACATTGCTAAATCCTCCCTGTGGCTCAAATAACACATACAAACACACCGAGAATATGTTTGAACAAAGGAATTCTAATGGGATACCATCTTCCAAAAGCACATAATTATCTCTGACAGTATATTTTTATAGTATTTTTCTACAATTCTCAAAGCTGCACATTTCCAAATCAACACTGCTTTCTTCTGGTATAACCATAAGGAAACCAATTAATCAATATGCCGTGCAGGAAATAAAAGCTTAAATAACATATTTAACTGTAGCTCCTGGTAAGATATGAATCCATTACGGGCAGACTTCTGCATCAAAAATTGTCACGTCCTGTAGATTTAATGACCTGTTGCAGCCCACTAACCCGATAATTCGAAAGTCATTCTGCGAAAGGCTTTCAGCTAGCACAAAGACATAACGCATAAAGTCCAGAAACACAAAGCAAAGCTACTTTGCTGATGTGCTTTTGACCCCAGGCCAGCTAAGAGCCCCAGTTCCCTGTCCAAACATTACGAGGACTTAAGAAACAACTGCATGCAAAATCTGATTTTTTTTCTTCCACTCACTGAGTACCAGCAGACAGCCAGTTACAAAGAATAGAGATGTTTTTTGCTTCTATTTTCCTGTCTGCCTCTCAATAAAACAAAGTTCTTTTTTACTTTCACTTTTCAGTAGTATATATTAATAATAAATATTAAATATAATATTTTCTGCACATGGCTGCTGTCAGCTCCATGTACTCGGTCCAAAACAGGTAACATCAGCAGTTACAGTATCAGCTTTTCAATCACACAACAAAATTAAATAGAATACTTGCATTTTCTCTCCCCCCCCCTTTGCATGTCTAAGACCAGTAATTCAGTATTTTTTTTTGCTCCCTTACCAAAAAAATCATGAAATTGTATTTCTAGAACGAAGATAACATTTTAAGCAGTATTTTAAAAAATCACTGAAACCTTCTGTTTTAGGGGGTCACCAAAGTCTGCTCGCCCTTCTACACCAACTAATCCTTCAAAGTTTGCCAAAAAGATGGTAGACGTGGATAAATGTCCCCGTTGTGGCAAATCAGTTTATGCTGCAGAGAAGATCATGGGAGGAGGAAAAGTAAGTGGTGACCGCAGCACTAGAAACAAAACACACTTTTATAATGGTGATAAACTATAGCTAATACATCCTTGATCTTTTAAATTTTAACTCGGTGAAGAAAACATGAAGATGAATTAGCAAATCGCTAGAGAGTCCAATGTACTCTCAGGTTTAAAACCAAGTGCTTTTTGTAAGCCGTCTTCAACTTCTTGCATCTTGTTGATGTCTGAAAAACAACTCCTGGCTACTGTAGTGGCTAGCTTTTCTACCACTGTTATTCTAGTACCATCTCTGGGGATATTTGTAATTTAAACATTTATCTGTAGTGGCAATTGCAGATATATTAAAGAGGCCCTGTGACTGGAAAAACAAAAGCTTGTCTCACATGACATGCTAGGTCTCTGCTCTAGCACCTCTCACTAGGATATTATTGCTGCACATCAAAGAAGTAGCCAAAACAAGAGCAGTATCTATAGCTCCCTGCTTTTTACTACACCGCCATTAATAACAAAGTCACTAGGTAAGATCTTGATATGGGATAATGAAGTAATTGAAAAAAGACTAACCTAGAATGACTAAAAATGGAAGCCATAAGACCAACAAAACAATTTTAACCTTTTCACGCCGTAAAAAGCAAGTTTTTTGTTTCTTGCATCTGCTAGCTGTGCACTTTCTGTAATGTACAATGAATTGTCTTAATTTCCTCAGCCTTGGCATAAGACGTGCTTCCGCTGTGCTATCTGTGGGAAGAGTTTAGAATCTACAAATGTTACAGACAAAGATGGAGAGCTCTACTGTAAAGGTAAGAATTATAATGAGCCCAACATTACTGAGTCCATCTAAAACTTGTCTTTTTAGACCTAGTACTGCCATCATGATTTACCTTGCTGCATGCTTAATGAAAATGAAATTTCATTTTATCTTTTTTAACAACTTTCTGAAAGCAAAGAGCTATTGTAACATTGAAGTTGCATCTTCTGCTAACAACATTTAAATTTTAAAGTTGTAATTTTTCTACAAATATGACAGCCTCTCAGATCTGTCCTCAGGCCTTCTAACAGGAACACTGGCCGTATCTGCTGGGCACTCTTGTACCTGCACAATCTCACCCTAAAAAAAAAAAAAAAAAAAAAAAAAAAAAAAATCCACAAAGATTCAGATCTTCAAAGGTATCCATTCAAGGTCATGGTCCCAATTTGAATTTTTGCCAGTAACAGTTAAAAAATACTTCCACTTGGTAGGACAGAAGATAACGCATTAAAGCTGTTATACATCCAGATGTTCTTCTTGGATCAAGAAAGTTCAGTTGACTCTTAGAAATAGCTTAAGGGGAAAAATATGCCAAGTTTTTACATTCTAGGCTAAACTTTATAGAGAATCCTACAGAAGAATACTTAAGTTCCGTGACTTTGGGTACAGTCTGACCACTGCAAGTGACCAAATTAGTGTATTTGGAGAAATATGCTGACCTTTACTACTTCCTTAGCAGAGTTGTGATAAATAATTACACATACACACAGACTGAAAATGGAATGGTTTAAACTACTGTCAATAGTTTCTGGACCACGTTCTAGTTCTTTTAAACTCCTTTGAAAATCTCTGACTTAGTCTGTATTACTCATACAGACCAAGTTTTACTGAGTATTTTCAGACAGGAAAGTAGCCTTAATGAAGATATCCCTTAGATCTTAAATACATACAGTTTCTTAATTTTTTTTGAGATAAGAGGTGACTTTTGTTTCATTCAAATATGTGATTCCAGTTTCACTATTAGAATCTGTTGACACTTCTGCGAAAGACATTATCAGATTTCCTTCCTTTTATTAGCTTAAATTTGGTAGCAGTACTAAAACCAAAAGTTATTTACCTCTATATGAAAACATTCAGAATACTATTTACCTCCCTGCTTCTTTTGCAGTTTGCTATGCAAAAAATTTCGGTCCCAAAGGAATTGGGTTTGGCGGCCTCACTCAAGTGGAAAAGAAGGAGTGTGAATAAGAAGAAATGGATGCAACAGACTCAAATTGCTGTTGATGCCACTAAGTGATAGTTGTCAAGTAAAATATTAAACATCACGTATTGCTAAGAACCTAGAGCATTTGTTTAATACCTTCCACCTTGCAGGAAAAACTTGTGAGCTTATATCTTAAGAAATTCTTAGAATAGCTTAAAAAGTACAGTGATAAAACAAGATTTAAGTCTGTTTTACAGGACATAAACACAAAAAACACCATGGAACATCATTCATGGAACATTATTGCTTCTTAAACTAGTATTTACCACACTTTAGACTAGAATTTTAAAGACTCTGCATACTGTCCCATTAAGACAGAGATACCTTATGAAGCACAAGGGTCAGTGTTCCAATTTAGGCTGTATTTTCCTTTGTGCAGAACGTTATGCCGTCTATATTTCTACCAATCTCCTAGCAGTGTTTCGAACATGTTGACATTTTGTGTTATGGCAAAGAAGATGTTATTCACTTTGAGACAATTAAAAAGGATTTGAAATTATGTCTTTCAAAGGGAGATATTTCTGAAGAAAATCAACATTTTCTTAGGATACAGTGTCGTAAGTTTTGTTATTCTATGTTTTCAAGCTGCAATAAAGCACAGATATTGCTTCACGTTATTTTTACTTGAACTTGCTTGTGCTTTTATGTTCTACAGTGTCGCAGATAAATGCATTTCACAGAGACGAATGAAATCCTCCATTTCTTAATTACAAGAATTGTGTTTCACTACACTACTTTACTCTTATGTCATCAGTTCTAGATGGTATTTAACTTTAATTTTCTGATCTTGATCTGTTTCCCTGCTGGTTTTCATTATTTTGACTTATATTCAAAACCACACTGCCCAACTGGCCACTCCAGACTGACGTTGTAGCCTTTTCTTGGGAACATGGCTGACATCTAGCCATTAAACATCCATGCAGGCAGACAGGAATAATTCCCTCTTTTTATATACATTGCTATTTTCCATCGTCAACTTACCCATTTTTATACACTAACAGGGCATATATACATGCAAAACATAAGGCAGAGTCAGGCTTTTTCTTACGATTTTGTGCCTACTTGTTCGTAAATACCTCACTGGTCACATATCCCTTGAATCTATTTCAGTATTTAAAAATAAACTTAAAAGCATGAAAGCTCCGTTTTATTACATGTAAACCCTCCAAATACAATACTTAACAGAGGTTTTCACAACATAAACAATAAAATTAAAGGGCAATTGTAATATTAAATTTTAAAATATGAACATTCCCCTTAATTTTTAAATGTAATTTTCTTTTATTTTCTGCAAATAAAGCAAAAGGTACCAATATGGTTTTGAAATTGTGCCCTAAAAACTTACCTTTAAAAAAAATCTATTTTTAGTGTCATCTCATCACATAAAATTTCAGTATCAGCTCAAACAATATATACACACATATATATAGTGATTGTTCCATATACAAACCTGCTGCAGCTTATGCAAGATAGGTTTAATATTTGAAATAATAATAAAAATAAAGACAAGCAATTTCAGAAGAATTTGTAAAAATTAACAAAATATCCAGTTTTATTTAGCTTTCAGTTCCAACGGTTTTAGAAATTAAGCAAAATTTCATACAGAATGAACATTTTTCTCCTTTGTCAGATGAAAAAGGTTGTATTGCTTGGTCCAGTCAACTACATTGGGTTTGAACATACCAAAGCAACTGCACTGAAAAAAGTCTGCAAGATTCTGAAAGCATCCAAGACTGAAAAGGAAAGGAATATCCATTAATAAACTTAACAAAAGAAGACTGCAAGTATCAAAAATACACATTGACCACAAGGCAGTACCTAAGATATAATGCTGTCAAAGACAGCTCTGAGAAAAGAAACATAAGAATATACGTTCTCTATTGAGCATTATCCCTTTGTTAAACTTTTACAACCTGTATTACATTAAAGAGTGAGAGCAGATTAAGTTAAACTCAAATATTTAAAAGTTAGTAAAATCTCATCTGTTAACACACGAGTAAACACTGACTTCTAGTATAACAGGGAAACCTTGGTACTCATTTATCTATTGAGCTAAATAGTGCAAAAGAAATCAGAAAGGGGCCAGCTGATACCTTACTTCTCTTTCTGAACCTACAGAGCAGACAACAGAGATTGATGAATAAATTAAAGGACAACCCCTCCTCACTCCCAAAATAGCATCTACTGATTAATGCTATGGACTGATTTTGCCACATTCCTATATATACAGCCATGCGGAAAGAACCCCAGTAGCTCTTATGCTGGCTGTTTATTTCCTAGTGCAAAGGAAGTTCTCATCAAGGAAAATGAGGTCCATTTCCTTCTCTTAGCAGAACTCATAACAGGCACTACTAGTACATCCATCAATCATCACTTTTTTGCATTTATGAAGCGGTGAAGCAAATCACTACTGAAAAGATACATGCTTAAAATACACTATTCATTAATACTCACTTGTATGGAGTTCTCCTGAGTGAAACAGGATGCTTAGAAGATTTTCTCTGTATCAGGACGTTCACTCTTTCATGCGAGGTCAATCCTAAGAATGCAATCTTACCAGAAGGAAAATGTAAGTAATTGTTAAAACGTGAACACCACAAATTAAAATTCCGGTGATAGCAAAAGACACTATTGAGAAGGGAGGGAGGGGAAGAGGTTGGCCATATCTAACAAATAAGTAACTACTACCATAATCAATGACTGAAAAGTATGTTTTTAAATGCCACTTGGACTAAAATAGAATCAGAAATCTGTAACTTTAACGCTTCCACCAAGAAGGCAATCTTAATTGCTTGTACTGTACTTTTACAGATGTCTGTAGAAGTATAAGATCTATAGCAGTTAAGCACCTATCTCCTCAAATTTTCTCTATATTCTACCACACAAATTTGTAGAAAAAGAGCCTCAGAAAAAGACAAAGTAGCTGAGCAAGAAAAATGGAAGAGGATGTCAGAGACTCAACAATAACTTCTCCATTTTCTTGATTCCGTGCCTTCTTTCATCGAGTTTCACAATGAAATTTATGGGTTTTTTTCTGCATCTTTGCTAACATTTTCCTTTTTTTTTTTTTTTAATCAACATAAATCTTATAAGCCCTTAGAAATGGCTGCAAGGGTCCTTCGCTGAATTAACACGTTAACTATCATAAAGTGGTACATCTACAAAATGACTGCATACAAAACACAGTAGTCAATCGTAAACATCCCACCCAGATCCCTTTTTTTCCCCCAGCATAGTCTCAGTGTCTTGGATATTACAGATATCTAGCAGTACACATGTAAAACCATGAATGTTTTTTTTTAAACAAGATACTAAGCAAAAGACTTGTTTTGTATGCTTAACACGTATTCAAATGACACATCTTTCCTAAAAGCTGCTAAACAAGCTGTTTTCTAGATGTTTTCAAGACAGCTCTTCTCAATCTTGCTTGCATAGCCAAACTCCCTCTGAGAAAACATAAACAGGAAATTTGACAGTCCTCATCAGGATAAAATCCAGGTCATATATTTCTATTGTAGCAATGGGATTCAATACAGTCTAATGACGCACTGCTGAGCTCTGCCATAGAATTTTCAATTCAGGACTAATTGTGCTATTGAGCTTCTGTGCCATTTTTGGGGCAGTAACACCAGTTCTATTAGTTAAATAAGTTTCTTGCCTTTAAATATATCTTTTTATAGGTTAGGAATTTTTGATGAGTGGTAAACCTAGAACTCTGTTATAGGAAAGATTTGCAGACTGCGATCCTACTTTTAACATGGGAATGCTGAGTGCACAAGTACTGGTGAAACTTAAAGGACTGCCCTGAGATTTAAGAAAAGCACCTAGATGTGACATCAATTAGTCAAGGAAAGCTGGCACAAAGTTTTTACGGGAGCAAATCATCTAGGGAAAAGTTTTAATATGATGACTCTTAAAGAGAGGAGCATAAACTGAAGGAAAATAATACCTGATAAAGCTGAACAGTCAGGCACAACAAAGCCCATACAGCATGAAAACAGGTTACTGCGAAGATGTAGGAAACCCATGGAGAACAAAGTATTATCTGTGTGAAGTATGTCCATGCTCCATCTTGATGATAACTTGTTGCACAATGGTTTGACCAATCTGACAAGATGCATAATTAGTTAATTATGTATTTAGGCCACTTAAAAACTGAACAAAGATTATTTGCATGGAATGAACATTACATACCAATGTGCTCTAGAAATATCATGTTTAATGTATCACGTTTCCCCTTAAAAGCACCCACATAGATATGTGACTGCTTGCTATTCTGGCTGCAAAATCTTTACATTACGTGTTCATAATCCACAGAAGGAACGTTCAAGGCACTGGCTATCTACTTTTTATATGATACTGAAATAAGCCATTGTCTCTTATTGTCAAGACTTCTGAAATGTTGCTTCATGCTTATTTGTCATTTTAGGACAAGAATTTATCATTTATCTTAAACACCATCATCAACTAAAGAAGACACGAGGGTGACAATGCCAAGAAAGTAGTATTTTACCACTAGTAAATACATGTAAACTAGAATGTCCAGCTTCTGTAAGTTTCTTAAGAAGTACTTAAAGCTTACCATGTATGTATTTAACCTATTAAAAAAACCAAACAAACTAAAAGCAGAGCAACTTTTTTTTTTTTGCCTCTATGTCAGTAGAACAACAAAGATATTTCCTTTCCATTTTCCTTCACACACAGGAAATGGAGAAAATAATATGCATACATAAGACCACCACTGAAACGCTGGAAAGCAACTCATGTTCACGAGTGACCTGTGTCTTCCACTGCTATAGCTGGTTCACTTCTATCTACGTTGAATATTGATTCATTTCAATATAACGTGAAGTAATATGACATAAAATGAACTCCCTCCACTTTTTATTCAAAAGGTTAGTGCTATGCTAATTCCTCCTCAGGACCTACATTATAATGGCTCTCCTTCAAGAAATTTCTTAATTTTCCAAAGTAACAGTTTGGATTTATTAATCATATATATAGTTCTCTTCTTTTCAAAGTTATCACTACATTAAAAAAAACCACTGTTGCAGATGTTCAATATAGATATTTCCAAATTACAAAAATCAATAAAGCTTTGCAATAATGTATTTAAAAACTTATTTTCTATTACAGTAAATGGTATCCAGACCAGAACCTGTAACCTGACCTACCTCCATGTGGCTTCCCTATTTCATCTCTAACAAAAATGCCTTCTGATGTATTTTCCAACAGATATCCCACTAGAGCTGTATCTTAGTTCTTATTCCACACAAATCTAATCAGGTATTTGACTGAAGACTCAGATATTATGTCTTTTCAAAGACAGAATTACAAGATAACATTACTGCTGAAATATGGTATCATTTGTGCAGGTATAATTACACTTGCTAGAAACAAAATGCTGAAATTAAAGAGCATAGACACATGTCCTTGAAAGCTAAAGTAAAATAAATTCATGGATACATACACAGAAGAGTTCCATAAAGCAGCGAGACACTAGTCACAGTTAGGAAAGACAGGAACAATACGTAGTAATGATGGTTCCCAACGCCTGAATTTGACACAAGGAAAAAAAAAGTTTGACATCTTAAAATTCAGCACTATTTGCATTTCCCCTTGAGTTAACAGGAATAAAAATAATCAAAACCGCTTCTCACTATTACTTCTGCTATCCTCAAGAGACTTTGACAAGGCTGATCTCTTTCTCAACTTTCTCCTGTAAGCCATCCCAATTTATATAACAGAATTAGTTTGATACAGTCAACCAGGATTTGTCTCTGCTTCAGAGCACACCTTCAGCTGTTTTAGCTAGATGAGGAGTAATCATGCAACCACAACTTTCCCCACGCACGGTACAATTGTTTCATATGACTGAAAAATCTAAGCTATTCAATTTAATTGTTTGACCTTTGTGTGCTTCAGAACTGCAAAGATAGGCATAAAATCCCCCAGACTTCTGTCAGAGAAACTGTTACATGAAGATATACAATTATTTTTCTTCAAATTACAATCAGTATTCCTCAAAGCTTTGAAACAATGCACCAGAAGGATGTCTCACCATTTTGTAAATAGCAAACACTGTAAAAACATTTCCAAGTATTTAACATTATAAAAAAGCTATTGGCAAAAGAATATGCTAAAAATACATTGCTACAGATGTAAAGCTCTAAACTTTCTATCTTAAGCATCACCAGTAATGAGACAGCAGGGAAGAAAGGAGGAGTTTCTCTAAGAACACAAGAACATAAAAAACACCCTGCAGGGTTATCTCAGTGGTCCAGCTGCTCCACTTTACTGTCTCCAACAGTGAGAAAAGGCAACATCAGCTCAGGAGGACACACAGGCCTGGGTGCTTTTTAGAGTTCGTTCTCCTCATCCACAGCTACTGCCTTACAATGTCAGAATGTACATACTTGTCTAGTTATTTTAGTATCTACTTTTGGACAAATCGGCCAAAAATTTGTCTAATCCCTTTCTGAACCTTCCGATATTGCCTGTATCTGCAAACTCTACAGCAGCAAGCTCCAAAATTTCACTACCTGTCATGTAAAGATATTTTTTCTCCCAATTTTAAATCCAATTGATATTCTCACTGAGCCTTCCCTGGTTGTATTATGATGTGCTTGGCAAATAACAGCTCTGCATTGACTTTAGCAATCACCTTCACTGCTTTTTTTGGTTTGTGTTTTTTTTGTTGTTTTTTTGTTTGTTTGGTTTGGTTTTTTTCAAAGTCTCAATCATATCCCCTGTTCCTTCTTCTCTCAAAAGAAAGAGTCTGAGACTTTTTGGTTTCTATTGTTAAGTTGACCACTCCGCCCTTTAATAATTTTAGTTGTCTTTCTCTCTGCCATCTAACTGATTTCCCTGACACCTATCAGTAAGACCTTCAGTATCAACTGTGTATTCTTATATCAGGTGTGCTCTCTCTCCAAGGAGATAAATGTTATTTCTGTAACTTTTAAAATATGTGGTATTTTCAGACTTGATAAAACAAACACTCTCACCAATGCACTGTCCAATCCACAGAGAATGCTGATCATATCTGGCTACACATGAATCACAAGCAAGGCAATGCACAGATCTCAAAGGCTTCCTTACCTAGTGGAGGATGAAGGAAAAGCATACAGTCATAGTAAAAGCACTTGTTTCACTCAAAGTTCAGAGCATCATCTCATAGGCGTCATCATATTTTGTACAATTACTGTATAACAGACCTCATAAGAGAACATAGATGAGAACTATACATCTTAATTTTACAAAAAGAGATGGAAATAATTATTTTAAGATTAGAGTCCAAGGATCTCAAAATATCTCTTTTGTCACCGTAAAAGAAAAAAAGAAATTCAAGTAATATCGAACAAACCATGCATGTAACACTTGTATGACAAGCAATGCGGAGAAAGTTTTTGTATTGAGTAAATGCCAAGTTCAAAAAGAAAACAAATACCAAAGCCTCACTCACAAGACACGATGTGCAAAATGTTCTGAAGTCCAAGCAGCCTGCTTCTGCGAGAGCTACAATGTTCTGAAAGACATAGTTTGCACTTGCATTTGAATCACATTTTCAGGGGGATCTATGAAGATTTTTACATTAGGCCTTTTGCAGTTCATAAGCATTTTGAGTGCCAGCACTGATAGGAATAAGAAATTGCTATTTTAAAATGTCCATGAGAAACAAAACAGCAAAGACGAATACAACTTCACCCATGCAGGATTACTCAAAAAAGTATCTCTGTTGCCAAAATTAATAAATAACGTGAATGAAATATTCTTTAAAATGAGATGGTATTAAGACACAAGGTACCTCTCATATAGTCAGCCAGACTTCAGAGAGATGAGGACAGCTGCGATATTTACTGTTCCTTTATGAGTACTAGACAGACAACGTTTACTAGTCCTGTGGCAACAGGTTAAAATTGCAGTTTATTCTCCCTGGCAATCTGAAGAAACACAACCTCATGGAGAGCAACGAGATCACAAACAAAATGCTTTCCTTAATCCACAGGTTAGGGAGACCAAATATGAAATTCTCTACTGATTGGTTGGCCACGATTTCTTTTTGCCATTCTAAAACAGAGTTAGGAAATGGCATATCATTTACATGATGCTTAAGCACAAAAATCAAACCGTTAAACGCATCTTCAAAGTATCTGACAAAATTTAACTCATTTCTAGCATTTGGTATGTCTTACGAGCAGAATTGTACGAAAGCACTGTGAGTATCTCTTTCTAACCTTAGACAACTGGAGTGGAAACCACACAAAATTGATACTTATTAAGTGAAGTTCTGTGTGAATTTATATCAGAGATAACATCAGTGGGTCTGTACCATATTTGGCCAAAACTCACATGTCAAGGAGAAGACGGAAGCGAGGGAATTACAGCAGGATAATGAAGATAAGGAAACGAGGAAGGAAAGATAAGATGAAGGTAGTAGGAGGAGACATTATCTATCATCTGTGTTGTTCAATTACATGGCTAAAAACTCTTAAAAGAGTGAAGAGTATTTACTGCTTTCAAGTTTAACAAAGCTGCACATGATGACAAACAAACCAACCAAAACTACATACATGTTGCACCATGTTAGCCCTTCCATTTGTTTTTATGAAACCACCTACCTCTTTTCTTTCTTTTTCTGAAGTCTTAATGTACCCAGGATCAGTTCTCCAAGTTTTATAGAAATAATAAAGAAGACCCACCATGCTGAACATGACAGGGATTTTAAGAATTGTATCTGTCACATGTAATAATCAAGTTAAGGAATATATTCTTATACCACATTATTTGTGAAACAAATAAAATATTCTAAAATTAGTTTAAATTATTTTACAATAAACACACAAAAAGGAAAATAATTACTTTCACTTTCATAGTAGGATCCTCTCTGTCCTTCAGGGGCCATCATATCAGAGAAGCTGAATATTCTGTCCCGTTTGACCGCTGGAAATGACTTTTACAACTGTATAAACCTGTATCACAATACAGCTCCCTGTCATCCTCACTAGCAGAGTGTAGACTTTTGTCCTTGAATATTTAAGAGATATAAAATGAATTCAATTTCTTTTTTCCTTCTGAAGTTTGTCTATTTTACTTAAACAATACCAATCATACATGTATAGTTATTAAGCTTCCAGCAGCCATGAGATGAGTTTGACTGCTGCACACATCCCTAAGTCACCGAACAGGCCCTTACTCATTGTTTTCTAAACCTTGCTCTCTCTTGTTTGTTGCAACTAAAACAACCAAATAAATTCAGACAGAAAAATACAACTGGAAGTCATCCTGGAACTATCTTTGTCATTCAAAAAACCAAGCACACACTTCTAAACACTTCTGAAGGTAACGAGACAGCTACTGAGAAACTTTCTTCCCTCACAAATAGACTAGAAAATCCATGATTATGAATGACAAATTTCTGGTCTAACTGGACATTTTTCTTCTTGCATACCACTTGCTTTTACCCAGTGGTTGTCTGTTTTAATTACAATATATAGAGGGAATTGATGTCTCATGAACTCCAGAGAAGTAGACTTCAATTCAATACTTTTTATGTATAGTTATTCGCTGCAACTTCTTTAGCAGACAAATTATTATTATTCATGAGGGAGGATATGTGGTCATTAGGAACATAATTTTTACACTATGGATTAAAAACATCTGTATGTCAGGTGAAAAGCAGAGAAAAACATGTCAAGATCAACTGCCTCTATACAGCAACAGAGGAATATGGAGTGGGACAAGTTTCATACCAATTAAATTCAAGCATCGAACTTGAGAGCTCAGGCTGCTAAAGAACAGTCCATGATGCCACCAAGGAGCAGTCAGAGCGCCCAAGCCTGGATTCCATCTCCAGTGACCACGCAGTCACTACATAAACTGCACAGTGTGAATAACTTAAAAATCAAGTATTGCAACCTCAAGGGTTTTTTGTCTTATGAGCCAACAACACTGCAAATAGCTCTAATTAAAATCAAGATGATAAATTATGAAATCATGGCACTGTATATTACCAGACTTATAGCTGTGTTTGTTACAATGCAATTGCAGGGTGCACTTACAATAGTCAAAATGATAGTGCATTTCTTGTGGATGCTGCTGGTCTATTTACACTTCTATTATTTTTATGGAGCTGAGAGAAGTCCTTAATTAGAATGGCTGGATTTTCATTCAGTCTAGAGGAACAGTTTGACAGACATAAATACACATAAACTAAAATACTGAACACTTTTATAACACTCAGATCTGTGGCCAGTTCCAGAAGGAAAACACATTCATGAGAAACAGGATTGGATAGAAAAATAGCAAACTACCCACTTGCCCATCTCACCAAGCTACAGTTAGACCTTCAAGAATGTTGCTATGCTCACTATCTTCAGCAAAGTGTCTGACTCAAACCCCTATCGTTGGATTTTTTTTTTCTTTTTAGATGACACCAAGAAAACCTTAAAACATCAAAACACAACACTGAATAACATGATTTTCATTCAGACAAGTATATGCGTGTATCCCCAGCAGGAACATACTCAATCAGTTAATCGAAGTTAATCCTGATAATTCTATTAAGGACATCTTAATTGGGAACAGTACAAAAGGAAAATGCCACTTAAAGCATGAAGTAATTAAAAATCAATTAAAATTGGGTAGCAATATATTACAGTTGGTTTAGTACAAAATTCTTTACAGTTCTAAGTATCTCCATAAAGGTCTTTTCACAAAACTTAATCAATAAATAGACACCCCCTGCATAACAAAAGAGGAGGGCACCAAAAAGTGCATGTAAACTACTGAAACGTTTTTGTACTCAACAGTGCAAAGCCTCTTCAAAGAAAGTAAAGGAAAGGTAGAAATGAATCCACTGTACGCTCAGGATGAAGCATAACCTGTGAATAAAGACAGACAGGAGTCTGGAAGACCTGTTTGGGAGGGATACAACAAAATTTGTTCCTTGGTTTTTTGCGGGGGGAGCAAGGGGGTGATGTTTTTAAAAGCAGAAGCATGAGTACCATTGTCAAATCCTTGTCATTTCAGAAAGAAGAGATGCTTCGAAAATTATTATTAATGCACATGTTATCTGGTTATACTACACGCCAAAATACATTACTGTAGGACAGTCTCAGTGAGGAAGAATAAAGAGTCACAGGGAGATGCTAATAGAGACAATTAAGTTTATAACAGAGATGTCTTCATTTTGATATTGCAGTAACATAAGAAATAGTTCAGAATGGTACACAAATAGCTCCTAGAGATAAAAGAAGGTACAGATTTTTAGTCCGCATATAACTTTAAATTAAACTCAGAGTTAATTCACCCCTGCCCAGCGGAAATAAACCAATCTAACCAGACATTAACAGTCACATGGAATTATCTGGAACTGCTCATTACTATTTGCAGGACCAGGCTTAGATTTATTAGGAACTGCAAAGAGAGTTCTATTATATTTCTTGAGTATAAAGGATATCAGGTAGGAACCAGAAAAACCAGGTCACAGACATCCAAAAAACTGAACTTAGCAGAAATGCTGTGGGAAGATACCTTAGATTCTTGAGCCCCACAAGTTGCCTGAAAAAATATTGAAAGAAAAAATTATTTTTTTTAAATATATCTAAAATGTAACTCCATAGAATATAAATAATCTGCTTTGTTATTTTAAAATCTTCACACATACAGTATATTTCAAGTCTTCCAAGACTTGTCACTCAAAAGAACTGTCACTCAAAAGCATTCTTTAGCCAGATGCGTAGACAGTTAACAAAGCAAAAATAAAACTGAAGAGTGCTCTGTTGCAGCCTAATATTACATATCAGAAGTGCTGTAGCATTGGGTGAAAAATGCAATCTCTGTCTATCTGCACACTGATAGCACCGCAATTTCAATGAATACCAACTGTTGCAGGAACTGTTGAACAATGCAGGAAACCTGCAAAACAGCTTAGGATTACACTGGGAGGTCTGGGGAGGAGAAGGGGAGGGAATGGTTCATTAAAACTCATTCCATGTCATAAATACAGAAGGAAAAGTTGAGATAAAGCACATTTCTGAGCATTGTGAATGGGTATCTCAGTGTCTACCAGATGCAGACCTTCAATAACACTCTCTTTATCATTAAAGTTAGCTAACAGACTCCCTAAACACTTTAGTATGGTTTTGCACACCTGAAGACCTTCAATTTCTATGGTCATCCTAAAAAGTACATATATTTAAATCCTTCACACTCTGCAGCCATTTCTTTTATGCTAACAGAAGCTAAACTCTGAAAAGAATACTCCATTAGACACCTTATATGGTGTCTGTAACAATTAAACATGTGTACAGGGAGAAAAAGCCACAAACCTCACAAACAGAGCCATCCCAAAGAGCAGGAAGAGAAGCAGACCTCCTTTCAAAAGCCAAGAATCAGAACTTAAGTTCATTACGTATCCTATGGCCCACATCAATGTCAAGGAAGATGCCAACAGCAGGAAGAGCTATTAAAATGATTATTGTTAAAATATGACAAAGTATTCAAGCAGGACTGACTTCAAAAGTATTCACTTAATGCAGTAACAAATGCTGAAAGACTCAAGGTAGACAAGACAAGGTGACACATCAATACATCCAAGGGTGAGGTGTGTGGAAATGACAAAAAAACCCCACCCAAAACCACTGCTACATGCTTTTAAAGACTTTTATTTTTGTGCACCCAATTTCAGAAACCTTAGAAAATCCTCTTGTTCGCAAAAAGTTAAGTTGCATATTATTCTAAACACGGAATGCTGTAGCTTTATTTCCATTAGTTATTACTTGGGAAATTACCTCGTATTTCTCTACTATTTTCAGTAACCTGTTATTTCTTCTGCTTCTCATTCTTTCTTCCTCTTTTACCATATAAACCATGAAGCGATTCAGACTTTGATAAGCAAGGTCAAGCGGCATCTCTCCCTTTAACAACAGAAACGGTTAGTTATTTATGCATTTAAAAAGGAAAGCATTTACGTGTTAACAGAAGCAATAAATAAATATAGGTAAACCAAGAATAACTGGGCAGTTACTACTTATTTTTTTTTTTTTTTAATAAGGCAAGGGTAAATTAAATTCAGACTTTCAACATGCTTAATCCAGTGCTTTGTAGTTCTAAAACCTGATACTTGCAACCACATTGCATCCATTTGAGTTATCTGTTGGACTGTCTCCAATAACCTGAAATGCTAAACTGTCTGCTAGAATATTACACGCTTACTGAAAGAGAAGGTTTCTTGTTTATGTTAACTTTTTAAAATGAAACAGCAATATCCTAAGTCACATATAATGAATTAAAAAAGCAGCAGATGGAAAAGCTGCACAACTTAGTACACAAATCCTGAATAACTACACTGCACAAACATATCTATATAATCATAAGAAACTATACTTTCAACATTTATACCTCCCACTATCAGTTTTTACAAATATTAGGATGAAGGCTTTCATATGTGACTAGCCCTTCTGAAAGTACAAACAGGCAGTGTCAAAAGCTGGTTTTCACAGAATGACATACACACCTTTTTATTAAGAGTCTCATTGGACACCAAGACACTGTTATTTTTAAAAGTCCGGCCAAAGTCATTAGTCTTCATGACAGCATTTTGAAATAGAAAACAGTCAACTTTTTTTTTTTTAAAGTTCGAGGAGAATCTGCAAAGGATACAATTACATTCGGAGTGACCGAAAGACTTGGCTGTTCATTAAATGACCATTGGAAAGAATCTTGGCATTCATACTTTGAGCCACACCACAAGAAAGGTGCTAACTCCTTTTGGGAAAGACTAAGAATGCCTGCTCTTAGTCAACTCCTGTTGCAAAGGATATCCAAAGTGGAGAGGACTCAGATTTTTCTTCACATTCATTTTACGCATTCATGTCACGTGGAATGAAATATCAGGAAAGCAATCTTACCTTGACATTTTTTATGTCCAGGCTAGCACCAGCTTCCAGCAACAGATCCACTGCACTAGTATTTCCTGATGTTATTGCCCAATGCAGTGCAGTATTCTTTTGAACATTGTCTACAGCATTGAGAGAGGGGTTAAACTTTAAGAGAAACTTCGTAGGTTGTGGTCTAGATGAAAATAAAGTACAAACGTTAACAAAATAAAAGATATCTATACTGAAGATGAAACTTTTGAACATCTTATAAAAATGACTTTTCCCATCTGTGAAATAACAGCAGATACACAATGCCTTGCCTCAGAAAAGCTCATCGACGGTAAATCCAAGTTTGTAATTCAGACCTGCTCTTAGGGTTTTTCTCCACACTATGTTATCTTACCATTTTAACAAATATGAGGTACATACACAGGTTGCCCAGAGAGGTGGTGGAAGCCCCATCGCTGGAGGCATTCAAGGTCAGGCTGGATGGGGCTCTGAGCAACCTTATCTAGTTGGAGATGTCCCTGCTCACTGCAGGGGGGTTGGACTAGATGACCTCTAAAGGTCCCTTCCAGCCCAAATGATTCTATGATTATATCTTTCTACAATACCGTGTATAAGCTTAGACCTCCACATCTTATTTATTCTAAACGCATTTTACTGCATCCACCTCCATTTATTTTAATTTCTGGGAAAGTACAATAGTGCTGCAGACGGTTCAGCCACAGATCTAAATTTTTCTTAGAAATTCTTTTGACTTCTTTGCTATATCCAATTAGCTACTTCATAACTCCTGATCTCCAAAATACTGCATATTTTAGTACAACTAAAAGGGAAAGGAATGTCAATTTAACAACAAATTTTGTAAGAAGAAATTAACCTCATCACTTCTTGGGTACAATAAAATAGATTCTTCCTAAGTTATTCACTACTTACCCAATTGCTTTTTGTGCTGATAACATTAAAGGTGTTTGTCCATTGAAGTCTGTTGTGTCTATGCTCTAAGTACAAGAAAAAGATAACAAGCAAGTGATTACCAGTGATTTCAGGAAACAGAGTTAGACGGTCAGATTCAGAGCTGTACAACCGGCTTAGCTTCACAAATGGAAAGAAACTGGAAAGAAACCAAATTATACCAGTCAAGAAGCAAACATTCATTTAAACACTTTCCCCCTGCCCCGAGTCTTGCATGTCATTCCTTTCAGAAGATGCTGAGTATCCACTAAGGATACTTTTAAGGGAGAGTCTCCACTACAGATATTTTTAAGGGAACCATGTTAACCGCATTTCTTGTCCTCTTGCGCAAAAATACTATAAATAAAATGCGCCTTGTAAAGCAATGTTAACCATCTTCCTTGTGCAGAGGTACATAACAGAATGTCCAAGTATATAAAACTGCTTTATTAAAAGAACAAAAAAGGATGGATTGATTATGTATCTCGAGACACAATTATTTAAACATCTCACTTGCATTACCTAATTTTCTTCCTTCTTCTTCACAACGAAAGTTTCCTTGTTCCCTGCCTCCACCCATCATTACACTAGAGGATATTTAGTTAAAAGATATTTTGATATCTATATATATATAGAGAGAGAGATATGTATATCAATATTTATTGATATTTTAGTAGGAAACAGGTAGGCTAAAAACTTTAAGTTTGTGATATTACCATCTGCGCCTACATTCCAGAATTCAGTTACTCTACTAAAGAGAGCTCTATGAGAAAGAAAATAAACTTATCAAGTCTTTAAATCTTAATACTCATTGTTTCAAAGAAACAGTTTAGATCATATAAGAACTCTCCTCTCATTTTTATTAGCAAATTGTTACACTTGTCATTAATTCTGCTTACTTCAGATGTAAGCTAAGGAGATATCAACTAGAGTGGACACAATATAAAGTTACACAAAATACAGAAATTCCTAACAAAAAATTCATACCTAGTCTGATCATCTATTTTGTACACTTCAAGTGATGGACAATTGCACAGATTATTAGTTACAAAATTGTAATCAAATGGTAAATATTTCATGAGGTACATACTTCATATACTGCTTTTTGTTCTTCGGTTTAAAAGCCAGTTGTTATTTATATAGTAACACAAATCTGCATAGCCTTAACAACTCTCCTTAAACACTCTGAGTTGTATGTAAATGTGTACGTGTGGGGATGACAAAAACAGGGGAGAGGTTTAAAAAAAAAAAAAGCAAAATAAAAACATATATACACATATATAAAAAAAATTATCTAAGTTTCTCTGAACTTATGGTACAGGGAAATAGCTGTCAAATGCCTGCTCATCATCTAGAAACAAAAGAGTTAATTCTGAAATGTATCGTACACACAGGCAGCTACTCATAAGTAGGAAACAATACTTGGGACATCAACAACATACCTGTCCTTTTGCTATGAGGTAAGCTACAATGGGCATGTGTTGAAACAACACTGCTAAATGAATGCTACTGAATCCTTCCCCGTCAATAAGACTGGGATCTGCTCCACATTTCAACAACAACATGACCATAGGTAGGTGTCCTTGTCTGCAACGATAAATGAAATGAAACTGTAGAGATGACAAAAAAAAGATGGAAATTTTCATGAAAGCATTGCCTTAATTCTCATGGATATCCCGCCAAAAAAAAAAATAATCCTTTCATATTCTTGTGTTTTTATTCAGGAAATTACTTTTTTTAAAAATTAGTTTGTATCAGAAAATCATATTAAATATATACCTTAATAAATCAGCCACGGCAAACTGTTGATTTAGAATACAACGGTTATTCTACAGTAATTTCTCCTGTGAGCAGTCTTTCTCAGAAGTAGTATCTAACTTTGTTTGGCACAAGAGTAAGATAACCCAAAAGAAAGCACTGATCTTCCAACCTGAGAATCTGCACTCAGAGAAGTTATCCCAGAATAATTATTAAAGGTTACGTTTTTTCCAGATGAGCAGTGCTTCGTTCTTTTGATCATTTTACTCAAGTCCTGTCCTAGAAGCCAAAGTCGTATGATTTTGCACTGTAACAGGTTGAACAGATGTAGTCCAGAGCAGATGCAGATGTAGAAAGAGCGGATCCAAAGCTGCATTAAACATTCACAAGCACCAACAGATACCACCACCATCGTCCAGGAAGAAACATTGCATGTTTGTGGTGGCAGCTATAAGGAGCCCAAGAGGAAAAGCTAATGGCCCTGGGAGATGAACGCCAAAGACCTCCCTACATGCCTCCAAACAACAAGGTATCTTACACTGGTCCTACTACTACATGCTTGTGCTTTAAAGCCCAGGACTGGCAGCATTGAGTCTTACAAGTGCACACGAAGGAACCTAGTGCAGAAGCCAAAACAAGTGAAAGCATGACAGGCTGAAGTCTGAGGGGAACAGTGACCACAATTTTTTCAAACTTAAACTATGCCCTAATAAGGATCAACAGTTAACTTCAGTGCCCAAAACCAGCCAAGGCTTCTTTGCCCAGTAAGGCAGAACTTACGGGGCAAAGTCTGAACAGTACTGTTTGATCCCTAGGAAAACTCAAAATGTGAGTCCAAATGACTAAAACACAGATATACATAACACAACTTTGCGGCCTGCAAAGTGGCCAGGAATCAGAGAACAGGTTTCAGCATTACTATGGACATGCTGTGAAATTCCTTATACCTCAATAAAATAAACATACCACAGAATTTGATTTAAGCTGACCACAACTGTGCTACACAAAATGCTACTGTTAACAATAACAGATTTACAACTGGTAGTTGCAAGCAGCATACCTAATGGCCCAGTGCAGGGGAGTTGAATTCAAATCTCCACCTAGCTGATCCACTATTGCACCTTTGGAAATATAATACCTGCATAACAGCAACACAGTAAGGTTAACAACAGACATAATCAAATATTAAAACATACTAGTAGTAAATAGCTCATAACAAAAAAAAAAAAATCTCACTAGAGAACCAAAAGGAGAAAAGTATTTTTGCAGTAAAAGATGCTGTTTTGAGAAAATGATTAAGAAAAAGCCCAGTAATTAGCAAGGCACTTACAAAATCAGCTTTAATCTCTATTAAACAAAACAAACCCAGGAAAATCTAATGATTTCATGTACTACATGATTTCACATATAAAGAAACCATGGTAACTTTACATTTCAGTGACATTTTCACAAAGGCAACTGGGTTAAAATTTGAATTTTACGCTTTTCTTCTCAGGCAGCATGTTTCTTTGTTTTGAAGCACAATAGCAACAAAGCGATTACAAATAACAGCGGCAGAATACTTGTGTTACTTTCACAAGGACTCTAGAGCTTACTTAACTAGCTCCTGTCTGTTGTTTATTGCCGCCCAGTGAAGAAGAGTCACGTTTTCTTTGTCTGGTTGTCGAACATCATATCCTGCTTCTACCAGTTCTTTGCATCGCTCTACTATTCCATACCTTAAATGAGAAAAAAAACATACTGATTTACTTATCATTCATTTGTTAAGCATCCTCCAGTTTAGAGACAGCCACACACTAAAGAAAAAGTAAACCTCAGTAAGCATCACCCAGCAGCTCCTACTTGAGCAAATTCCACATCGCATTCAATGGAAGTCTTGCAAAAACAGTTGAGCTGAGCCTTGATGAGTTGAATTTTCTACTTAAGAAACCTAGTTGAGATATCATTGTTTATGATAAAGATATTTACAATAGTACCTGTAAGTGATTTTTTTTTTTCTTCTTTCACCACAGGGAGAAAATGGAACTGTAAAACTTTCCTTTGTAAAAACATCCAACCTGGCTCACATTTGAGGACACTCCCATCTATTTTAACATCTTGCACACACAGAATGTGTACTTACTGTGTAGCCTTGACAATATCACAGGTGCCGGGGTCTTCAACAATCCGATATGGTCCTGTTAGCACCGGCAGATCTTTAGCCCCGTGGGTGCTATGACAGTTGTGCGTATGAGGTTGATGAGGCCCATGGCAATGGTTTTTACACTGTTGGTTAACAAAACATCTATCAACAAGCGACATTTATACACTGTACCCCACACCTCCCTCTTTACCAGAGACACATGTTATACTTCTCGAGTTGCATTAATAGAAACAATGAGGTTAATTTAAAGCACAGTTAAAAACACCTGACGAGACAAATCCTTTCATTTGGCACAGGGACACGGGAGGACAGACGGGATATGGTTAAGGTCCATCAGGCCAAATGACAAAGGCGTTATGGCTCCCGACGCAACACCCTTACGCACAGCAATACCACCACACTAGAAATGACAACCTACGTCCTCGAGTAGGTTTTGAAAGGCAAGGGCACTCGAGAGCCACAGGGCCAGCCGCACACACCAGGTGGGAGGCACTAAAAAGGCACACGCCGGACAGGCCACAGGCCTCCCTTCTCGGTCAGACGCTGCTGCCGGCGGACACCAGGCCCGCGGGCCGCTGCGGGGGGCACCCGCTCTCCGTTGCTGGGG